TGTGCTGGGATTGACAAATATGCATTTTATTTGGATTTTAAAGACGTTTTGAGCTCCACACCCCAAGTGTCTGTGGGTTTTAGTATAAATTTAATCACAAGATACTGGCAATAAATTATCTTTTACATAAAATGAGAATAAAAGATGTTAATACATGTTCTTTTTGCAACAACCATATTGAAACTATAAAACATTTATTTTGGGATTGTCAATTAAGTTATTCTTTTTGGGAAGAATTAAAATCATGGATAAATTCACACAGTGGACCTTAACAGATATTATTCTAGGCAATAAACACTTAGATGATGCAACATTAAATTTAATTCTGTTGAGAAATTTTACTCTTTATCGATGCAAAATAAAGAACTCAGTTCCATGCGTTCAACTTTTGAAAAGTAATGTCGCTTTTCTTTTTAGAACACAATTATATAGTGCAAAAAAATAGAGATTCAAAGTTTGACAATTTAAAGGGCAAATATATTTCTTTGCTGCTAAATGAGACTAATGTTTTAAGATCATTTATTTAGGCTTGATCTACTCTGTATCGCACATACTGCCCCTTGTTTCTTAAACACTTTTTTAAAAATTTTCTTATGATGTTAATGCATAAATTATTCGTGACAAGAAGTACAACTCTTAATTGGATATCAATTTTAAAATAGTAGGAGTTGTTTCCCTTGAATTAATGACATTTTTTTTCAATACAAGTATCAAAGTAAAATTGGATTTTTTCCGTTATGTTAAATAAGTTCTATAATATTGTAAAGTAATAAGTTTTGAAAATGAAACTTTTTCTAATGTTATATTAAAATAAGCCTGGCATTTAAATTCTGCCAACATTGGTAAGATACTATTGGATTATTATCTTTATTATATTTATAAACTTTGTAGATCTATTATTACTCCTTAAATGTAAATCTCAATATATTGTATGTATATACATAAATGTTTTGTATTGTGTAAAAAGTTTTTTTTTTAAATGTTCTTTTTGACATATTAATTTATGTGTGTTTGTTTGTTTGTTTTTTTTTTTTCTGTCCAAGAATAAATGAAATCCGTAAATAGATTTTGAAAAATAGGAGCTGAAAATAAAATCTCTTCATGGTTTAATTTACAGTTATAAAAGTTATACATGTATATATGTGATATTGCATGTTACACAAGAAATGCTAGAAAGTTATAGGTTAATAAGTATTTACATATGAGCCGCGCCATGACAAAACCAACATAGTGCGTTTGCGACCAGCATGGATCCAGATCAGCTTACGCATGCGCGCAGTCTGATCAGGATCCATGCTGTTCACTTACAAACCCTATTACAAGTAAAAAAAAACATGATCAGACTGCGCGGATGCGTAGGCCCGTCTGGATCCATGCTGGTCGCAAACGCACAATGTTGGTTTTGTCATGGCGCGGCTCATTTCTTTTTCAATATTTAAATGCAGAAATATATACCAGTATGCTACTTCAGATAAGTCTAATGTGATGATTTTTTACCAAGTAAAAAAAGTAGAAGCCCCTCATATCTAAAACGTTTATATTTGCATATTCTATTTCAGAACCAACAAAAAATTGCTCCGCTGGAACGTTTGTCCACACAGGAATACTTTATAAATGGCAAGTGAATGTGTTTTACTTCCTCGGCGATGAAAACCATTGTAAGACATTGCCAGACACTCAAATACCCGTAGTCAATTATATTAGCTGTTTGTTTTATTTAAATATAACAACAATAAAACAGCAATAAATATAAACTCGGCCATTTAATGAACTTTTATAACAGTATTAAGGCGACAACAGATACTTTCCGTGTTACTACCATGAATGTCATTTAAACCAACTTATCTTAGTAATTATTGTTATTTATTTAAATTGTGTACATTAAATGTCTTTGATCTTCATAAGAAATAACATATTTGAAAAAAATGCCTTCGTAAAAAATCCATAATTTTAAATCGTCATATCAAAGATCATTTTTTAGTTTTTTTGTCATCAAACTTTTAAAATATAAACATACTTATACTATCTGGGGGAACTGTGTCTCAGCTTTTTATCTTTTCTAAAAAAAATATATTACGTAACGTCAAACATTTATGCGACTTTTTCACCATATATATTACGTTATTAAAAATAATAAAGTCACTGATAGAGCAAACAAAAATCCCTGACACGGTTCCCTCCATAAATGAATTCCCTTTCATGTGCTTTAAATCTCATTATTAAAAAAAGTTATGCCGATTCAAAGTTAGTCCGATCCGCATCAAACAAAGTGTCCTCTCTCAGACCTCTACGTTTCACAAACACACAAATATCGCACCAAAGGGGGTCACAAGATGCTGTTACATACTCTAACAACGTTTTATGACCCAGTGACATAGGACCAATTAAAAAGCTGCTGATTAATATATAGCAGGAATTCTTCAAATCTTAACGTTTCTTTAGAGATATATGGTATTCAAAAACGTTTCACCTACTACACTTTGCCGTGGTGATCAGGGGAAGTTACTATTACAGGAATACAATTTTATCAGATGAAGATTTACACATACTGGAAAACAAATACAATGCATATAGACTTGAACTTTTATTCTACGACAAAAAAAAATATACTTAAAGCCACGTCAGAAGACTTCTAACCAGTAAAAGCACTAGCGTGGATTACAGAAGTCGAAAGAGAAGCTCACCACTAGGGATTCAAACACTAGACCTCTACTACCCTCTCTTCAGTTTTTTTTTCAGATTTACTTTGTTATTAAATGTACAAACATTTTGAAGTTGTGTTTAAGCAACTGCCCCCACCCTTACTAAGGACACATCGCATTTTAGCCCCAATGTTATCATTTGATCAAACTTTGTAGCTTTCACTAGACAACATTTCATACCAAATGAGCTGCGTCATGACAAAACCAACATAATGGGTTTGCGACCAGCATGGATCCAGACCAGCCGGCGCATCCGCGCAGTCTGATCAGGATCCATGCTGTTCGCTTACAAACCCTATTACAAGTAGAGAAACTGATAGCGAACAGCATGGATCCTGATCAGACTGCGCGGATGCGCAGGCTGGTCTGGATCCATGCTGGTCGCAAACCCATTATGTTGGTTTTTTTCATGACGCGGCTCAAATATCTAAGCTCAACTGTTCTTGCCTTTCATTGTTCCACGCAAGATTTTACCCACATCAGGACAGACTGTTATTTGTATTAAAGTACTGAAAGCTAGTGTATATTAAACAGATGTACATGTATTCTAAAGATTTTCTTTATTCAAATATACTAGTGCTTATATAGCATCAAACTATTTTGATAGGTGGATGGATATTGTTATTGGATCTAAGCAAAATATTGTAATGACGTAAGAGGGGGATTATACATAAGATTGGGAATAAATAAATAACAAGAGGGCCATGATGGCCCTGAGGTCGCTCATCTGTATATAGGCCCCCGAAGCAGGGCCAGTTTAAACCCCAGGGCTTTTATTTGAACAAACTTGGAATTAAGACACCCATTAGAAGATGTTTCATGATGTTAAGTTTTTGCTATACACATATAAGGAAAAACAATGACCTTCTCTCCCCCCCCCCCCCCCGGCAGAGTTAATTTTAACCCAAGGGCTTTTATTTGAACAAACTTGGTAGACACCATAAGAAGATGTTTCATGCTAAACATCTAAGCTCTAGCTCATTGGGTTTTTTAAAAGAAGATTTTTTAAGTTTTTACTATACACATATAGTTAAAAACAATGACACCCCTGGAGCGGGGCCAGTTTTGACCCCAGGGCTTTTATTTGAACAAGCTTTGTAGACACTTATTAGAAGATGTTTCATGCTTAATATCTAAACTCTAGCTATTTGGGTTTTTTCAAAGAAGATTTTTTAAGTTTTTGCTATACAGTATAAGGAAATCAATGACCCCCTGGGGCGGGGCCAATTTTGACCCCAGGGCTTTTATTTGAACAAACTTAGTAGACACCTATTAGAACATGTTTCATGCTAAATATCTTAGCTCTAGCTCTTTGAGTTCTTTAAAAGAAGATTTTTTAAGTTTTTACTATATGCATATAGGGAAAATCAATGACCCCCCCTGGTGCGGGGCCAATTTTGACCCCAGGGCTTTTATTTGAACAAACTTGGTAGACACTCACTAGAAGATGTTTCATGCTAAATAACTTAGCTCTAGCTCTTTGGGTTCTTTAAAAGAAGATTTTTTAAGTTTTTACTATATGCATATAGGGAAAATCAATGACCCCCTGGGGCGGGGCCAATTTTGACCCCAGGGCTTTTATTTGAACAAACTTGGTAGACACTCATTAGAAGATGTTTCATGCCAAATATCTAAGCTCTAGCTCTTTGGGTTCTTTAAAAGAAGATTTTTTAAGTTTTTACTATATGCATTTAGGGAAAATCAATGACCCCCCTGGTGCAGGGCCAATTTTGACCCCAGGGCTTTTATTTGAACAAACTTGGTAGACACTCACTAGAAGATGTTTCATGCTAAATAACTTAGCTCTAGCTCTTTGGGTTCTTTAAAAGAAGATTTTTTAAGTTTTTACTATATGCATATAGGGAAAATCAATGACCCCCTGGGGCGGGGCCAATTTTGACCCCAGGGCTTTTATTTGAACAAACTTGGTAGACACTCATTAGAATATGTTTCATGCCAAATATCTAAGCTCTAGCTCTTTGGGTTCTTTAAAAGAAGATATTTAAAGTTTTTTTCTTTTGGTTGCCATGGCAACCAGAGTTCTGCATGGAATTAAATTCTTTGAACAATTTTTAAAGGTGACCACCAAAGGAACATTCCTGTGAAGTTTGGATTAAATTGGCTTAGTGGTTTATGAGGAGATGTCATTAAAAGCAAAAGTTTACGGACGGACGGCAGACGGACGCCGGACGAAAAGCGATCACAAAAGCTCACCCTGTCACTTTGTGACAGGTGAGCTAAAAATGGGAATAAGCAATTTCCAAAAAAAAAAAAAAAAATAAATAACTAGCAACATCACTGAACTGATTTCACTTTATTTTATTCCTAGATTTATACATAACAAAGATATCACAGATAAGGTAAACATGTCATACATTTCAATACATAATTCTTTACAACATACAAGAGCAAATGTCCATGATTTTCACTATGTATAATTATCAAAGCCAGGGTACTCTTTTTTTATGCAAAATTTACAAAAGGCCAATTCAAGTTTCATGTTAAGATGAAAAGTTCTACATATTTTAATTTGTAAAACAAGAATAACTCTAGTAATTTATAACGGCAGATGCAGGTTTACTAATATTAGACTGGATATATTCTAGCCCTTGCAACAATGCAAGAAAATGTCTTTCTCTAGACTCTGTGTGTCAGATATGTCACATGTCTGCGAAGACATCATTCCTGCAGCTTAAATTCATTCAAATTACTAGTCAGAAAATAGTGCTTAATCAAATATATAATGTGTTCTCTGGGTGACTGATACAGTCGCCCAAGTTTTCCTACTCTTTTTGTTTGAACTACAGTTGACCACACTACACATGTGTATAATACCAAGCTATTTAGAAACATATTAGAAAAAACCCTTCAAACTAAATTTTACAGAAAATTAGGGGAAAAGTAAAAGATTTTAGCAGAAAAAATAGAAGTCCCTGCACGTTGTAATAGTCATTTAAATAGTACAAGTCATTAACAAAATATTATCATTGTTAAAATAATTGAACAAGTTTTAGTGATCCTAAGAGTAAGTTCTGCCACAATAATGTAATGTATAGATATCGGGCTATTTTTACTTGTGATTCTAATGAAATAACTTTTCCTCGGTTATAGAGATAAAATGATGTTAAAATATACTAAAGTAAATATGTTTCACACATTATTCAAACACTCCATATTGAATTTACAGAATACACATGTATTAAGTTGGCCCCGATTCAAGTGACCTGTACCTAACTTTTCATCCCCAAGGATATCTAGGCCAGCAATGGGTAAAATAATTATAGTTTGCATGCACTAAATAAGCAAAAGAAGATATCAATATCAATTAACTAATTTTGAATATTAGCCTTATTTAAAACAAGATATGGAACATTAAGAAGTGTATGAAATATAATAGTCTGAGTAGAAAAGCCTGACACAAAACATAAAAAGTTCTTGTTATATTTTCAACATAGTGCAATATTATTCATTGATATTCTATCAACATTTTATCTTAGAACTTAACATTCATTAACAATTCTTTCAAGAAATTATACATTAAGTGAGCAAAGTAAGTTGATATTCAAGGGGGCCATGCTGATGTTAAAATAGCTTTTTCTGATAAAAAAAAACTAGGAATACAAAGAGCGTTTGCGAAAAACTTAGGAGGATTTTAGAAATACTGAAAAACATTTTAGAAGAAAAAAAAAATGAAAAACTTAGGATTTTAGAAAAACTTAGGAGCCCTTTTGAAAAAGTAAGAAACACTGGAGAGCCTGTAATATGCAAGAAAAAGATTCAAACATTTGCTGTCAGTACATATTTTTTAATGCAAAAACAGTGAGTTGGGAAAATAAGACATATCATGATTTTTAATGTACATTGTACATATTTGAAAATTTGGGTTGCTAAGAGATGACTGAATAGACCTCTTAAAAATGGACATTACCCTGTAAAATTTACTCCATAAATTTTTCAATATACAATATTGCAACATTATTACCTTCTTTAAGTATGAGTCAACATGATAATATGATTGACATTAAAATTTGAAGTGTATAAAGCTTTATATTTGCTTCAAAAATTATTAATTTAATTCAGAAAATGTGTACAAGCAAAATACCTGTATGAGAAAAAATATGCTTACATATCTACTTAGGAGCCAAAGGCACATGCATAAAATCATTGCTAACAATTAGAACCATTCTCTATAATAGCAGCTTATAGTATGTTTCTGGAACATTTTATTCTGTTTACATACAATATGCATGTTAAATAACAGATACATTTACAGTCTATGTCACAACTCTTTGTAGAATCAACAGTACGATAATCGAAACAACATAATTTTACTGTTAATATAATTCATAATTTTTTTTGTAACATATAGCGTTAATATAGACTTTAACAGAAATTGTTCACACACTTTAAGCAACTACTTCTATGTGATCAAGGGTTTCTTGTTATCATAATAAAACCTGTCATATAAATCATTTATTAACTATTATTCTTCTATACTATCACACCAACAATAAATAAACACTCAGATCATTTAACACTGTACAAAGTAAACATGTCATATTTTAATAATTATATACAATAAATGGGTCGCGTCACGACAAAACCAACATAGTGCGTTTGCGACCAGCATGGATCCAGACCAGCCTGCGCATCCGCGCAGTCTGATCAGGATCCATGCTGTTCGCTTACCGACCTATTACAAGTAGAGAAAATGATAAAGAACAGAATGGATCCTGATCAGACTGCATGGATGCGCAGGCTGGTTTGGATCCATGCTGGTCGCAAACCCATTATGTTGATTTTGTCATGGCTCGGCTCAAATGAGGATTTTTTTTAGTATTTTCTTTTCCACACATCAACAATTACTTTTTAACATCCTTTTTAAACAAATGATTTATCTTCAGTAAATTGCTACCAGGTCCTAAACATGCTGGAATGTAAAATGACTTGCCTTTGCCACCAGTATAGAGCCAGGCCAGTCTGCCCGTTTGTGCAGTCTAACTAGGCTCTATACTATGGGAGGGGTTTGTCTTTAGTGCTGTTTGATATTCTAACATGCTTCTTCTTATTCTGTTATGATAGCATGTAAACATATTTATAAGTATGACACTTATTTTCTTGAATTAAGAATATGACATCACTTTAATTTGAACAACAGCTATACCGTTGGTAGTAGATTATGTTTGGTATTTTGATATTTTACAAATTCAGCATGTTAAGTGGTAAAGTTAAAATAAACAAATTGCTCATAATAAGTCAATTAACAGTATCATATACTTCCACAATCTCAAATTTGTTGTTTTATCAAATTTTATTTAATAATTTTTACGAAACTGCCAGGCATAAATGTAATGAAAACGTATACATGTTTTACTGTACAGCAAAAAATGAGGAGGTTCAAACACCTTTCTGCTAATGCTAATAAAACATATTTATCATGTTTTGATGTTAACCACACTTTTTTTATACTTTCATTTAAAAGATTTCAACAACATTACAACTCTTAAATAATACTGTTTGTTATATCAAACACAAGTAAAGAATTATGCGTTATCAACAGGCTACATTGTGTTTATAGTAAATTTTCATCAATGCCAATTTAGATGAACAAAAATATGATTAACAAAGAAATGATTTGTAGAGATTTTCAAAAGACAATAGATGTTATCAGTAACTCAGCAAATGTGGGTTTTTCCAAGCTAATCTGATGATACAAATAAACTTTGTAGCTTCACCATATCACGTGGCACTACCAGTCACAATACATTACTCAACCTGTTTTGCTTATTTTCAAAGCTGTTACTAAAAGTTTGTTTGTACCCCAGTATTAGCTGGGAAAAACCAAAAAAAATATTCTTAATTCTACAGTAAATCTATTGAACATATTTTCAAGATGACATATGGATAATCTCCCATCTTCCAATCTCTGGGCTTCCACTTTCTATTTTTGGGCTCTGCATTGATGCTGAAATTTCTGCCTCTGTCGCGCAGGATTCAGATGAACTGGAACATGTGGAAAGGTCTAGTGGAATTTCTTGACTTTTTGGCAATATCATCTTGACGTTTTCTATGTGACGTACATTTGATGACGTGTTCACTGAATGTGTTTTAATAGAACACTCTAACGGAACCTCAGTCTGTGAGATGATTCCATGAGATGCAACTGGGACTATAGTAGATGAAAGTAGTGGATTTGAAATGAGACTAGAGATGTTAATCAAACGTATTCCCGAACCTTCGTGTTGACGCGCAACTTTTCCCGATGGTTTATTTCCCATTTTTGTATGCGGCACGGCTATATTACCTGACATATCAACACAGGAATGAGCATTACTAGTTCTGATTGTTTCCATATTGCTTTCTTGCGCTACATTTGATTCTGATATTGTAAAGTTACCGTTCTCCCTGATTGCTTCCTTGTAGTTATGTCCATGCGTTCTCACATGCTTTCTTAGTGAACTAGGGTCAGTATATCGTTTGTTACAGCCTGGCATCTTACAGATATATGGCTTATCTTCCTGGTGAGTTCTAACATGTTTAAATCTGTCACTAGAATTAGAGTATGCTTTATTGCAGCCTTCAAACGGACATGTGTATGGTTTCTCCCCTGTAAATATACATGAAACATAACAATCGAGTATATAGCTATCTGTCTGGCCTTACAATGAAAAGAAACTTTATAACAAATTTCTCTGAAAAAAAGAAAAGCTTAGTTTTATCCATTTTAATCTATAAACCAGGGAATTCCCCAGGCGCTTTTAGCGCATCGGCACCGATGCGCTAAAATATCAGAACAAGAAATCCCGATGCGCTTAAAATTATCATAGCGCTTTAAAAAATGACCGATATTCCTTTCTATTGTGTCTATAACTTAACCCCAATTAGCCAAATAAACAAGCCAATATACATGTCCTGTGTAGATAATTACCCGAGGCGTATACACAACCCGATACACTGACTGGCTTTAGACTGTGTGACGTCACAGACACCTGTCATCGATGTCTGCAGACGACTGTTGGTGCACTTTCAGGTGTTGTCATTTATCGTGTATTGAGATGGGTGCAATTTAACCGCGGCATGTGTCATATTTAAATGTTTCAGGTAGGTGTAATAACTTGTATTGTTTTGATAATATAATTGGCATTAATTGACATGCGATATAACAGTTTGATATTTAGGGATGAATGGGCATAAGTGTAATGTTCAATTTCATCTTTCTCTTTCTTATGATCGTTACGTCAAAGCAGTACTGTAGTATTAAGATTTCAAACAAGAGCTGTCAGAAGGACAGCGCGCTCGACTTTTTTAGTGCTTGCCTATAAAACAAAACTTTGACAGTTAAGGGCACACAAGACTTTAACTAGGAATTTCTAAGTACAAATCAAGAAACATTTTCACAGAGTTATCTTCTCTTGCTTACAGATAGGTCTCATGATGGCACATAAGAACTCCAACTTCCAAAGTAATATCTCAAATGGTTAGGTCAACAAGTGGACAAGAATGAAAATTTTAACTGAGTTTCTAAGTCAAAAAGGGCCATAATTCAAATAAAATCCTTAACAGAATTACCTTCTCCTGCCCATGTTTGGGACCATGATGGTAAACAAGTATTCCAACTTTCAATTTAATATCTCAACCAGTTCAGTCAAAAAGTTGACTGGTACAAAAAACTTAACCAAGATTCTAAGTCGATAAAAGGCCTTAATTTTTAAAACAAATCCCTGACAGAGTTACCTTCTCTTGCGTACAGATGGGGGTAATGATGTGAAATAGCATTAAAAGTTTCAAAGCAATATCTCAAAGGGTTAAGGCAATAAGTGGATTTTACCCATACTCAATGTATTTTCTAAGTCAAAAAGGGGCATAATTCTGTCAAAAACCTTGACAGAGTTATGTCCTCTTGTCTGTTGATGAAGGTCGTGATGGTAAACAAGTATGGTCAGTTTCAAAGCAATACCTCCAATGGTTTTGAAATAAAGTGAGGTGGTACAAAAAACTTAACCAAGCTCAATACACTTTCTAAGTCAAAAAAGGGCCATAATTCTGTCAAAAACCTTGACAGAGTTATGTACTCTTGTCTGTAGATGGAGGTTATGATGGTGAACAAGTATGGTAAGTTTCAAAGCCATACTTGTAATACTTCTGAAATAAAGTGGGGTGGTACGAAAAACTTAACCAAGGTGTGACGCCGACGCCGACGCCGGGGCGAGTAGGATAGCTCCCCTTTTCATAGAAAAGTCGAGCTAAAAAGAGTTCTTTTTTGTGAGCAATGTCGTTGAAACTGTCTCGGGATCATTTTGCTTTTTAATATAAACATGATAATCGTATTTTATTTGGATTAAACTGCATAGATATTCAGAAATAAATTTGGTTGATGGCTAACATTAACAACTGTTCATTTTCAACTTGCAACTGAGTGAAAACAACAACAAAAACTTTACATCAACAATCCCACTTAGTGACAGCCAATTGGTCATTTTATTTTTTAATTAAAAATATCTTGTAATCTGTGTCTGTCTCCCAAAATGAAAAAAAAATATATTAATTTTGCAGGCCCTCTTTAATCGAGCCTGTTCATGGACAGCTTTGTGAAGTGCAATCTACTGTCCTACCCCTTAGCATTGGTTTGTCAGGACATACAGGAGCTGGCCAGGCACTTTGGTGTAGATATGGAGCAGTGCCGCAGCCACTGGCACCAGGTACGTGCCAGTCTAGAGTGGACTGATCAGTCAGCCGACCAGACCATGACCTGGATTACTGGCAACCTTTCTACCAGTCATCCAGCTCTTTACAGAATTGCTGCTGTGGGTTTCCTCCTCCCAACCTCTACTGCAGGTAATTATTATTAAATTCATTCATTCTTGAACATTAATGAAATTCCAATGATAGTTGCAGATGTGTAACACTTTGCTAGAAGTTTTTTAACATTTCAAATATAAATTTTTTTACTTAGTTAAGTTTAAACAGGCTGGAAGTTTAAAATTTTCAAAAATTCACAGCAAACAAACAAAATAGATAAAAGACATGAGGTTAACATAAATGATTACATGTACTTTCATTTATTAATTTCAGATTGTGAGCGAGGATTCAGCTGCCTGAAGAGAGTTAAGACTGAAAACAGGAATTGCCTCTCCGTTAAAGTTCTGAACTCTTCTTGCCGTCTCCCTTCAAGGACCCCCATTAGAATCTTTCAACTTTGAGAAGGCAGTCAAGGCATGGAAGGACAACAAACCTAGAAGACAGGCCCACTTTTAATGATGTTAATGAAGAAAAAACAACTGAAATATACTCATTTAAATGGGACGCACATATATACATATAAATGTTGATCACATGTTGTGAACTTGTGTTTATATATAATTGTTTATTTATTTGAATTGTTGGAAATGGAAAAAGTAAATAATAAAGATTAAGAAAATGTTTATCAAGTGAAAAGCTTTCATCATTTGTTTTAAAACAGCCCACAGCAGTATCTTGACACCTGAAATGGCAAAAAATTTCGACACGCGCTATGGGGGTCAAGACCCCCTCCCGCACCCACCCCCGTCTAATTAAAAAATGTAGCCCTTAAAAAAATCCTGGGGAATTCCCTGTAAACTCTGTATAAACATATGAATGTATATGATATATGACTTTAAGTAACATATTGTGACAGCATATTTAACAGTTTTCCAGGTAATTATTAATAATCACATCCATTCCTATCGCAAATGAAATCAGGAGAGATTTGTCAAAGTGGGACAAATCCAGACAATGATATGGTACTGTATGTTCTTCAATCCAGATCATCTTACAACTTGTTGGTTATATTAAAATGTGACCTGGCATGAATGTATATGCAAGTGATGCACATCAAATGTCCTTAAAATCCATGATTAAGGTCCTTTCATTTTAAATCTTGAAAGGTCTTGAATCTTGAAAAGTTTCAATAGAGCTTGCCATTAATGTTAATGTCAGCAGAAACATGATTCATATCCAATCCCCTTTGTTATTTAAATATAGACATTAAACAAGAGCACTGGTGTTTACTGGTTGGGGACCACCAAAACCGGACAACCACCAAACCCGGACGGCCCCAAAAATGCTTAATTTAGAATTTTCTTTGTTCAGTGGTGGTCAGTCATTTTTATATCAACAATAAATGCATGTTTCTTCTAAAATTAAGTAAATAAATTTATTTCAACCCCCGTAAATGGTTATATTTTAATGTCTATTTCAAGAATGTTGACGTTGAAATTTGGGGGTCAAGAAAGCAATGCCTGACCTTATATACCAGCTATAATCATTTGCAGAGTAAACAATAGAATATCCAAAACTTCAGCATTTGTTGCTGACATATTGTATATCATGTTAAAAGTCAAAAATCAAAGCACCCAAGCTTTTATCTGAATTAAATCACGTCATGTACATATCTGTCCGGACACATGGTACTGTAGTATTGACAATTTAGGTAATTTTGATACCCTCCTTTCAGCCTCAGATATAAGAGTCAATACATTCAGAAAGAAACAAACTAGTTTGTTAGTTAGGAGAAGAACCTAGCTGAACTGCGTCAATTTTTTTTATCTCTAGGTTAAAAATTATGAAATCTGTACGGAAAAATGTCAAAAAGTGTCCGGTTGATGGTCCCCGACCAGTATGCTCATCTCTTATCAGAAACCATTTTTTTATAAATAATTGTTTAAAAGGGACAAAACCCCCCATAATTTCCCTTGCCTAACAATTGTGCGTGGTCATGATATTAATAAATCAAGTATTACAAGTTTCAAGTTTATAGCTTGGGTAGTTTTAGACAATCCTGGTAAAAACTTAATTCCAGTTTGTAATTGTGGGGCAAACCATATCAATTCAATGAATTGGGGCTTTGTTTTGCAATCAGTAAATAAATAAATTTACCTGTATGTGACCTCATGTGTATTTTCAGATTTTCTAATCTGGAAAATGATTTCCCACATCTTAAACATTTATGTGGCTTTTCGTTGGTATGGGTACGTATATGTATCAACATTTTGTACCTGAAGAAGTTAAAGATGTCTATAATAATATGTATCTCTTATAATATTTTATTTATTTTGAACAAGCCCTGCTTTGTGATGGAGAGCTGTCTAATGTTTGATGTAATAAATTCAATATAACAATGCTAAAATGGACAAGTCAGAAGTAAACAATTTTTTCAATTACTGCTGGAATGAGTTTTTCTTGAAAAAAAATGTGTCGGTCTCAAATGTTTGGTTGTTTGACCTCCATGTGTGAACTTGACCTTGGCCAGTTGTGCGCCGCAATCTGCCTAAATATGGTGAACTTTTGCCCCATGTTAAATAAAATCCCAAAATGCATGTAGAAGTTTTGCTCCACACAAACATTTTCCTTTGACCTTTCAGTGAAACCTTGACCTTTAACCTAGATACCTGGTTTATAGCTATGATGGCTTCTTAATGTTGTATTAGGTATAGCATGAGCTCAGTTCAGTAAGAAGAAACATGGTTGTTACAGCAAATTGGACTTAAATCAGGACAGTACTTTAGAGGATATTTACCATTGGTCCTGGGGGTCTTAAAAACATTTTCCATTTCTAAATATACCAGAGTGTACACATTTAGAAACAAAACTGATAATTTAAAGTTCAAAACAAACAGACAAGGCAAACACCTGTATAAAGACCATTTGGTGTCTTCACCACACACTGTGCTAGTCATAACAGACAACCTTAAATAGAAACTAACTTGTTTTGTTGGCTTCTTTCTTCCGAATAAACAGATACTTGTTAATTGATTATAACAGAATCCAGACCACTTCCCTGCTTTCTATGCGGTCTCCTTTCTATGTGGTAGAATATGTGCAAAACAAACAGGATATTTATAATATGGATTTTAATATGTAATATTGACAAACAGAGCTGGCCAGATAATAAAACAACTTAACGTTATCTTCATTATTTCAGCAGTCAACAACCTTATCAACTTGGAAATAGAAGCATGTGGGGGACCTTACTGGCTGAGAGGTTAAAGCTGCTTCCAGCTTTTCGAAAGGTTAAATATGCTATTTTTAGATAAATCGTTTCATATAATTGTCGCATCAAAAGAATTAAGGTTGAAAATCGTACATGCCATTGATAGAATAGATAAACAATAAGGAAACCCCTCCATACCTCTAATCTACCGGGCTGCCCTCTAAATGTAAATTAGAAAAGCAGACAATTCGTTTCCCAATCTTCTACGAAAGACACTTTTGATTGATTGATTTTCTTTAGACCGGGCGGTCAAGGATAACCTACGAAAGTGCAAGCACTTATTTCCAGTAGGGTCCTTACCTCAGTAGACTGTAGAGACAGCTATGAGATACAAGGAAATCCTAGAACCAGTCCCTTACTCTTATTGAATAGATTCCTTGGTTCTTTTACATGCCCAGTGTATAACACCGATACATGCGAGGATTACCTGAGTTTCGTACCAGTAAACCTTTAGTTAGGTCGGAAACACTGAAAGTGTTTTTGAAAAATCCCAAGGGTGTTACCCAGGATCGAACCCGGAACCTCAGGAGTGACAGTCAGTGATCTAACCAACTAAGCTATCGCGCCACTGACGCTTTATAAATAGTATGCTTAACAGTGATATGATGCATTTTTCCAAGATATTTAGTTTGAAACAACACACGATTGTTTTTTCAACAAGAGGGCAATGATGGCCCTGAAATGGCTCACCTGTATATAGGCCCCTGGGCCATAGCCAATTTTAAACCGGGGCTTTCATTTGAACAAACTTGGTAGACACCCAATATCTAAGCTCTAGCTCTTTAGGGATTTTATAAGAAGATTTTTAAAGTTTTTATTATATACATATAGGGAAAAACAATGACAAACTTGGTAGACACCCATTAGAAGATGTTTCATGACAAATATCTAAGCTCTAGCTCTTTAGGGATTTTATAAGAAGATTTTTAAAGTTTTTATTATATGCATATAGGGAAAACAATGACCCCCACCCCTCGGAAACGCCAATTTTGATCCCAGGGCTTTTATTTGAACAAACTTGGTAGACACTCACTAGAAGACATTTCATGCTTAGTATCTAAACTCTAGCTCTTTGGGTTTTATATAAGAGATTTTTTAAGTTTAAACTATACACATATAAGGAAAATCAATGATCCCCGGGGTGGGGCTAATTTTAACCTAAGGGCCCTTATTTGTACAAACTTTGTAGACACCCATTAGAAAATGTTTCATGCTAAATATCTTAGCTCTAGCTCTTTGGGGTTTTTAAAAGAAGATTTTTTAAGATTTTACTATATACAAATAAGGAAAATCAATGACCCCCTGGGGCGGGGCCAATTTTGACCCCAGGGCATTTATTTGAACAAACTTGGTAGACACTGACTAGATGATGTTTCATGCAAAATATTTAAACTCTAGCTGTTTTAATTTCAAAAAAAGAAGATATTTTTAAGTTTTTTCTTTCGGTTGCCATGGCAACCAGAGTTCTGCTTGGAATTAAATTCTTTGAACAATTTTTTAAGTTGACTACCAAAGGAACATTCCTGTGAAGTTTGGATGAAAGTGACTTAGAGGTTTATGAGGAGATGTCATTTAAAGTAAAAGTTTACAGACAGATGGACGATCACAAAAGCTCACCATGTCACTTTGTCACAGGTGAGCTAACAAAAAATAAAAGCCGAAGGCAGCTTTACATCACTTTGCAATTTGTCTCTTAACCCAAGGGGAAAAAATAGTTCAAGATAAAAGGCAAACCAAACATCTTTACAAAAGATTGAATAGGTCAATGGAGAAGAACATTACACTTTTTGAGACACTTCGAAAATTTCAATTATAAAGTGCAATTCAAAACAAGAGGGCCATGATGGCCCTGAAGTCGCTCACCTGTATATAGGCCCACAGAGCGGGGCCAGTTTAAACCCCAGGGCTTTTATTTGAACAAACTTGGTAAACACCTATTAGAAGATGTTTCATGATTAACATCTAAGGTCTAGCTGGTCAAGTTTTTTCTTTACACATATAGTTAAAAACAATGATACACCTGGGGCAGGGCCAGTTTTGACCCAAGGGCTTTTATCTGAACAATCTTTGTAGACACTAACTAGAAAATGTTTCATGCTTAATATCTAAACTCTAGCTATTCGGGTTTTTTCAAAGAAGATTTTTAAGTTTTTGCTATACATATATAAGGAAAATCAATGTCCCTGGGGCGGGGCCAATTTTGACCCCAGGGCTTTTATTTGAACAAACTTGGTAGACACTCACTAGAAGACATTTCATGCTTAGCATCTAAACTCTAGCTCTTTGGGTTTTATATAAGAGATTTTTTAAGTTTAAACTATACACATATAAGGAAAATCAATGATCCCCGGGGTGGGGCTAATTTTAACCTAAGGGCCCTTATTTGTACAAACTTTGTAGACACCCATTAGAAAATGTTTCATGCTAAATATCTTAGCTCTAGCTCTTTGGGGTTTTTAAAAGAAGATTTTTTAAGATTTTACTATATACAAATAAGGAAAATCAATGACCCCCTGGGGCGGGGCCAATTTTGACCCCAGGGCATTTATTTGAACAAACTTGGTAGACACTGACTAGATGATGTTTCATGCAAAATATTTAAACTCTAGCTGTTTTAATTTCAAAAAAAAGAAGATATTTTTAAGTTTTTTCTTTCGGTTGCCATGGCAACCAGAGTTCTGCTTGGAATTAAATTCTTTGAACAATTTTTTAAGTTGACTACCAAAGGAACATTCCTGTGAAGTTTGGATGAAAGTGACTTAGAGGTTTATGAGGAGATGTCATTTAAAGTAAAAGTTTACGGACAGATGGACGATCACAAAAGCTCACCATGTCACTTTGTCACAGGTGAGCTAACAAAAAATAAAAGCCGAAGGCAGCTTTACATCACTTTGCAATTTGTCTCTTAACCCAAGGGGAAAAAATAGTTCAAGATAAAAGGCAAACCAAACATCTTTACAAAAGATTGAATAGGTCAATGGAGAAGAACATGAACATCATCCATGCAACTAAATTGTTGTTCACAGTTCATCCATTTGCAGTCTAGCATATCATTTGTGCTATGTAGTATGCTCTTTGGGCTTACTTGGGACTTTACCACTGAGTCTGATTTGGAGCAAACCTAGAAATATTTCAACAGTATGTTTCTAACATTAAAACATGTGAAGTGGCCTCACTTTCATCAACTTTATAATATTCTAAAAACAATAATTTTCAATTAAAAAACAACCCATTTCCCGTTTTTCACTCGTTTTTAATTCTTTAAAAAAACAGTCATTAATCGCACCAAAATATTGTAAAATAATTACTTTTAATCTTTTTAAAACTTTTTACCCTTTTCCCTTTAATCTTAGTACAATGTTTCCCCAAGTTTGATTTTATTGAAATATTTTGTTCATGTGGAGGCATGTAGCTTTAATATTCGTGCCAAGTATATTCTAAAAATCCCTTGATGGATGAGAAAGTTATGTACCATGCACGACTGAAATCAGCAAGTGTGACCTTGACCTTGGAGGTAGCTGTCGGGGTGTTGCAAATGCATGTTGTCTCATTATTGTGAACATTTGTGCCAAGTATGGACAGACAGATGGAAGGATGGATAGACAGACTGACAGAGCCCATTTCTATATCCCCTTTTCTTCAAAAAGGCAGTTAACAATAAGCACTTAGACTTTCATGAGGAATCCAGAGTTGTTTCCCATTACAGCATACAAACCATTACCCACCTATATACTCTACATAGTTCAGATAATCTTTCTTTTCATTTGCATTTTAATGTGAAATATTTATAACTAATATTTAATTGTAACAAATAACCTTATTACATTCTGTGAAGTAATTTATTAATGTTTCACATTTAAAAAAAGTGTTTTGTAATATGATGGTCAACAGAAAATGAAAGGGCAGACATTTATCCATCCTAAAAAAGCCTAAACAATCACATGTCACCATCATGAAATTACAAGTAATACCAGATTTATAATCACTACCTCTGATTCCTGGTTTGCTGGTAAACTTAGACTTGAACTTTTCCCAAAATGACTGGCTATAAGTGGGGCATGTTGCATGACTGGTACAGTTATGGCTGCCTGTATATTGTCTATGTAAGTTGGTGGACTTGTATATACAGACGAATCTATAGGTAGAATTGGAATGGGGCGGATTACGGTCTGCGGTGACAATTTAGTTCCTTGCTGTCTGGTAAATAAACATCTGTCGTCTGGGGAACTGGAATGTGTCTGTCTTTCATCTGAAAATTAATCAATTTGATGTAAGCAAATAAACTCAGACATTGATAGGGTTTTGCTAAAAAGTGTTTATGTGACACATTTCTATTTTGCATCAGAACTAAAGCCATCACCCCACCCCCCCTTTGGTTATTAAAATAAACGATTTCAAGGACCACAAATCTTCTTGGACAGCTGACAATAACACTTTTTTGGTTATTAAAATAAACGATTTCAAGGACCACAAATCTTCTTGGACAGCTGACAATAAGACTTTTTTTAAAAATAAATTGTTTTTGGGTTGAGTTTGATGTTGCACCAACACAGTATAAGTCTTATGGCTCCTTTCCAGCTTTACTGGTGGAGAACAAGTGGATCTCAGGTTCCCCTCTGGCCATTATTTCCGGCATGAATGGGCACTAGAGTAGAACCACCAATGTTCTGTATGCTAGATTGGAAGCTTCCTCACATGAAAGAATCCGAAGTTCCTGTCGGGAATCGACACACAGCAGTGACAACCTTGAGACTTTATTGAGCAGTTTTAATGGAAATGTTAATTCCAGTTTCAAGAGTCATAAAGACATAGGAAATAAAATTCAGACCAACTGAATATATACACATACTATCTGTCTTGCTTGCAGTAAGACAATAGGACACTCATGAAGAACTGAAAAATAATTGAGCCGTGTCATGACAAAACCAACATAATGGGTTTGCGACCAGCATGGATCCAGACCAGCCTGTGCATCTGCACAGTCTGATCAGGATCCATGCTGTTCGCTTACAAACCCTATTACAAGTAGAGAAACTGAAAGCGAACAGCATGGATCCTGATCAGACTGCGCGGATGCTCAGGCTGGTCTGGATCCATGCTGGTCGCAAACCCATTATGTTGGTTTTGTCATGACATGGCTCATATGTATTTTCACATCTAGAATTATACTTATGAAAGTAAGAAATGATTAACCACTCCTTTGTAAGGATAAATTGCTTGTTTGTGTTGAAAACAGAATATTTGCAGAGACTATTCACTTAAAGGAAACTCCACTGAGGTCCAAAAGCTTAAAACAAAATTATGAATTTATTTTTAACAGAACAATCTGAAAAAAAAAATAGAATCTATAGAATACTTATTCTGATAAAACGGAGTAAGCTAATTATTATAAGTATTTTGCACACAAGTTATTTGTCTAGACCTACATTAAATAGACCATTGATCTCGAAAACTTGTTTCAAGTCTTGTCATGTCAAAAAACCTTAGTGGAGTCCCTTTAAACAGCCTCAAGATAAAGAATGTGCAAACCTGTGACAAGATGATTGATAAAATCTGATGGGGAATATTGTTCTGTTTCCATGGTAACATTTAATTCCATACTTCCATCCTCAATCTTAGTCTCTCCTCTTCTACGCAACAAAACCTTAAATATAAAAAAATCAGGATTTTAACAAGAGGGTCTTGAGAGATCATAACTAACTGATTACAAGAGGATATGGTACACATGGACAAGATTTAATTATCAGGTCATACCTATTCATTAAGTTATATCAAAATCAGCCAAAGAGGGTTTGACGTCATTTAAATCATATTTTAGTATTTAGCATGCACGCACCTTGTTAAGCAGAATATTAACCGATTTTTGTAAAGTAACACTTCAGTGGAGGGACGGGTGAAATATTGTTTAAAGCTTATTTCTTTTCTTTTTTTTTACCTCTGATGGCCATTTTCTTTGATAAACCTAATGATCCCCTTCCTATATACATATAGTTTGATCAAAGTCTGTAGCATCGTTAAAGAGAAAAGATGACTTAAAATTTATTTCTATTTATAGCTCTTCTGGGCCAGCTTGCTTAGCACACTGGAATGTTAACTTTTGTTAAAGACCACATAACAATAATTTTTGTCAAATTTTATCAAAATTTACCTAGCCATTAAGGATGCAATGTGTTTTTAAAGTTTTTTTCCTATTTTTTTACTTTGTGTGCACCTTTGTTCAGCACACAAGTTTTACTAATGAACCACCTAAAAAAATCATTCCTTTTAGGTTTCATCAAAATCTACCAAGAGCAAACTGAGGAAGAGATGATGTCAAAAGTTTTTTTTTAATTTTTAGATCTGGTGGCTATTTATTCGGCAGAAAGAAACTATTTGAGAAATTTTTATAGAGGACCAGCATGGCATGTCTATGCCAGGATCATCATACCTGATTTAGGAGATTTGAGCCGCGTCATGACAAAACCAACATAATGGGTTTGCGACCAGCATGGATCCAGACCAGCCTGCGCATTCGCCCAGTCTGATCAGGATCCATGCTGTTCGCTATCAGTTTCTCTACTTGTAATAGAGTTGGTAAGCGAACAGCATGGATCCTGATCAGACTGCATGGATGGACAGGCTGGTCTTGATCCATGCTGGTCGCAAACCCACTCTGTTGGTTTTGTCATGACACAGCTCATTTTTAACGAACTTTTCCAAATATATACTGACTAAATTGAAAAGAACAGTTGCTGCCAATAGGCTAAGTTATTATGCCACGCCTAAATTTTGCTGATAATTGATAATAAATACATCTAAAGGATAAGATACTTCACATATTAATAAACCAATGGCAATAAAAAAATCTAAAAAGGTACCTCTTTGTTATCCCTCTCAAACTGTTTCTCGCTGAAATAAATCAGCCGCGATAATGCAAATTTATGGAACCAAACCATAGTAAGAGCAAAACTTAACTTTGGGATTAAAGCGCTAGTGTGTATGTACCTCCGTTTTAAGGAATGCCATCTTATATAGTAGGAAATTTTTACACACGTCATTGACTAAGGAGAGTTGCTAATCTTACTAAAGAATAAATGACGTATTTATTATCAAGTTTTGTAATAATGTCAAAAAACTTTTACTGGGTCAAATAAACAAGCTATAAACTGGTATCACTTTTAATGTTGTTTCAGACAGAAGTGATCTTTCTTACATAAAAGCTTTGTCAAGAACATGGCAATGCCAGGTTTTCAACAATAGCCACTGCAAGTGTGGGGCACACGCTCCATCTTTTCTCACTATCAAAATACTTTATTAGGTGAATGTAAATTTTTTTATAAATCAAGAACATATTGGAAAAGATGTTATCCGGAACTCGGCAACCATTTTTCTATTTTTAGTAACAGTGACCTTTACATGACCCTAGGGGAACCAGAAGCAATCCCAGGCAAAGTCCCAAGATAAGCTTGCTCTTAAGCAAGTTTGATCAAAATATTTCATTTTTAGCTATAATTTTCAACTAGAAATGCCCACCGCCATTTGTCGATCTAATCATCGAATTTTTGAAAATTGAAAAGCTTGTTAAAAATCTATTCAGCTCTAAATATAGGATATATCTAAAGGTTCATAGTTGTCAAATGTTAAATATCCCTTTCCACTAAGGGTCTATCTCCAGCAAGACTAACCTACTCCTCTTTCACTCACCTTTATATGTATATATCTAATTTATCTATGGCAAGGGTCATCTAATTTTTATATGTGTAAAATATGTCATTACAATAAATGGAGGCTCTGTGGCTCATACTTACCTTAGAGCTGCAAACTTCTGTGAAACTCACAAAATGACATGGTTGGGTTTTGTAACCACCACCCAAGACTTATTTCACCAAGAAATCTGGATAATCATCATATGACCTAAATTAAACCTAAGATTGTCTCTAAATCTTAAATTCCACATATATGAACCATTCATTGATCAAGCACCATTTCTTCTACACATGACCCTTAATGACCCATATTCTAAATATGTTTAAAACTGAAATAAAAACATAATTATACAAACCTCAGCTTTCATGACTTTCTATTTCTGACACTGGTCCGCTGGTGAACATGGCACATTCATTCTATAAATAAAAAAAAATTACCATATTTAAATAGCTATAATTACATCAGTAACATAATGGTGTCTATTGGACAAATATTGTAAAATGATTTATTCAAACATGCACTGTGTAAAAAATGCAGAAGTCTTACAGTGGATTTTATTACTTGTAGTTTTGACCCAAAAGTGAGTTATCTTTGATATCAGTATATACAAAGGCTCCATACTGCTGGCTAACCAACTTCAAATTTTCATACTGGTAGTGGTATGCTCCAAATTGATAATGGACAGTTCCATAAATGAAAACTGGACAAGTCCATTTAAGATACTCAGCATGTTAAAGGAAGCTGTTTTAATTATATGCAACTGACTTGCCAGGTACTGGATGGGTCTTCAGGCTTTACCAGTCACTGTCCAATATGGTAAGCAGGGCTCGAATTTAACACTCGCAAACTAGCAAAATGCTAGTTGAAAAATGATTTTGCGAGTTAGATTTATGACTACTCGCAATTTTTTGCGAGTTGAAGGAAAAACGGAATACGCTCGTCAGGAAAATCGGGCGTAATATTCGCAGGTAGCCGAGTTATAAACTATGCGCGCACTTGCTGTCTGGTTTACATTTTCTATACCTTAACCTCGCTTAAAAACGTAGACAAATTTAAACCAGTCCAAATGTCATTTTGTCCGTGTAAATCAAGCGTGATCGGAATAAAATGTCTAAACGAAAAATAACGAACTTCTTCCCACTTACTGAAGCAAATGTGTCTTCTGATAACAATACTCTGAGTACAGAAGATGGTTCACAGTCTATCAAAAGAAAGACAATCAGACCTTCAGTTAAACCGGTTAAAAAATGGGAGAAAGAACTGCACGTCAGTCTTAGGTACGAACTCGATGACGATGGAAATGTTGCCAAAATATTTTGCACCGATTGTTGTGCGCATAATCCAGACTAGACATTGTCGGTATGGCGACAATATTGCATTATTATTTTTTTACAGGTAGATTGACATTTGATAAGAATCCTTGTCCCCTAAATCAAGTTTTTGAGTAGAAAGTTACGTTGCTGATTCGTACCCCGGGCAGTTCGAACTCGTCCAAATTAATTACAATTTTAATTTTGTTATTCTCTATATCCAGCAACAACTTTGTCTTTCAGCAAATCAAATAATTAAACTTAAAAATGAAGTATTATAATTTTTTTCATGCCCAATTTCATGATTAAGTCAGCTGTTTATGCAGAAATAAAAAAAAAATCTTTCATATCAATCATGTTAATTTAATCATTTATTTCAGTGAGTTAAAATATAAGATAGTTTTATTCTTTATTTTGAGTTGTTCCAACATGACAATTGAGATACAACAATTGAATGAACTCAAGTTATAACAAACTACTGTAAATTTATGTGTTGTACTACAACATTTATTAATAAAAACATTTTCAATAAAATTCATTATCATGATACATAATTGTAACAACAATGAATTAATTATTATGGTACATGATAATTCAAACAATTAATGAATGTACACAAAAGTTTAAACAATTTTGGAATTAAAAAATCATTGTTGTAAAAAGTGCTAGTTGAATTCAGTTTTTGCTAGTTAAAAATTTGTCCACTAGCAAAAAATTGCTAGTGGCCAAAAAAGTTAAATTTGAGCCCTGGGTAAGTATTAATATATGTGACAAAGTGAGTGGTAAAGCAAGTGAACATGTCAATATACTCCATCTTAACTCAAACCCAAAAAATAGAAAAATAAAATATTACATAAACAAATTAAACTTTAAAAAATTTCTTCAAACCTTTAAAATTCATTAAATTTTAATTCAAACCTTTCAAATTTATTAGAATAAAATCCCTGAAAAAAAATTCTATCAAACTTACTTCACTTTAAGTATAAGAAAAATTTCATATACAAAAGCAAATCATTCCAAAAAAAAAAAAAAATAAAATCTTAAAAAAATCCCTGAAAAAAAGAAGAAAAATATAAATAAAAACAAACAAACAAAACATCACCTCTTCAGCCTATAGATCAAATTATTCTGCTTGCTAATTTCTCAAAGTTAGTCAGAAACAAGCTGTTTTTTTATGAAGTCTTAATCCGAAATTTAGAGTTTTTTCAACAATTTCTCTGTACTTAACGACTGACTTTCTGTATAGTTTACATCATAATTAATAGCCTATTAAACCTTATGGGGGAACTGGTTTACATACAAGATTTACAATGTAAAACATTTTATTGGACCCCCTACAGGTTCAATAATATTGATTAAAATTGGAGTTCAATTAATTGCAAAATTTATCCTGACACACAAAAAAATATCCAAAAAAAAATGAACTTTAAACTTTATCTAATTACATTCCTGTGAAATTACTACATGCAATACAGTATTTAAGCAAATTAATTTGTTTGTTATTTTTTATTAATTTGTTATTGTTATTTTCACACCCTGCTGAGAATTTAATCTAAATATCTAATCAATTATTTACAATGCATTAGAAACCGGAAAATAAAAAAAATATATTTAAAATTCAAAGTCATGATGCTTTTTGTTTTATATTCGGCATGTACTTAATTCTTCAATCATTTAAAAATAATGGATAATATGCTACAATTAAATTGTGTGTGTGTTTTTTCGTACAAATTATAATAAGGTTTTAATCAATTACATGTTAGAAAAAGTATAAGTTTGGGTGCAATGATTTATCCCTCAAACTGCTGGAAATAAAAGCATCATTAAGACTTTGCCATCAGTATAGATCCAGTCCGTGCAGTATTACCTGAGGCTTAATTCTGTATTGTATTTTGAAACTCAGCACTCCCTTTAAAATTGAATGGACTGGCCAAGCAAACTCATTACAAATTTAGCCAGATAAGGGATTGAAAGTCATCAAATTTAACAAAACTGTCACCCTACATCGCTCACCTAAGATCCAATGCTAGCATTGGCCGGCCATACTTCTGGCCCAAGCTGTAGAGGCATTATAGGGGCATCACTTTGTGAATGAAAATCAATTAACTCGGATATGCAGGCACACCTGGTCTTGGTGTTGAAGATTCCTGTGAATTTAGGTTGTGCCCATATTTCAAACAAAAATCGGACAGAAAAACACTTGACATCTACTTATACAGATTAAAGGGCAATATTTTTTACTTACTTCTTTGGTTTTATAGTTTTTAATTTTATTTATGGCTCCTCAGTGTTCTGTTTACAATTAGATGCTCCCCACCCTCATTTTAAGTAGCATTGACTGACAGATGAAATGGAACTCTTACAATTGGGTTTTACTTTTAGGAAGCTTAAGTTCCTTTTTTAGCCACATGAAGCAATCTCAAACCCAAATGTTTGTTTGTTTAATTTTATGCCTTTTCCCGACAGTATTTCAGTCATATTGGCGGGTAGTTTCCTAACCATCGTTCCTGGAGGGTTACACCAGTACTAGACTACCTTCCTCCGTGCTAAACTACCAAAGCATCTCCCCGGGATCGAACCCACGCCAGAGAGGTAACTGGATTACAAGTCATCGACTCTAACCCCTCAACCACGGAGGGGGTCAAACCCAAATGTAAACACGGAGGCAGGGACAAATATAGGCTTGTCTGTGTGTCTCCACTGGGGAGCATATAACCCGCCAACACTATCTGGAACAATAGAGAACAATATACACCCTGGGCAAAATGTGCATTTTGTCATATGAATTTGATAAGATCACAAATTCAACAATAAACATTAAAATGCATCAGGTGTATTGATTTATTATAGTTACAGGTTGTATTAAACCTATTCTAATCAGGGCATTAAAACCTGGAGACAAGCACTAAAATGGCTTTGACAGGCATTAGACCCCCTGTAGTGAATTATCAAAAACTGTTGGATATTTAATACAGGACATGAGACAATCAATCTTAATATCACTTTAAAATATCTAAGTGCAAATTAATAATAAATTTGTTTTTTTATTATGACAAGGATCTGAAAATCCATTCAAATGATAATTTTTTTTAATCTTTTTTTTTGGTGAGTTATTAAGTTGCACTGACAAGTTGTTAAGGCTAAATTATAACATGGCAATCTTTCAGCTTTACTGGGGAAGAAAATAAACTCAAGATACCCAGCTCCATTGTTATGTCATTTCCTTGCTACATAGGATATATCTATCCTTGTATGTGTAAATATTTTCGGGTATGATACTATGATGGGAACGACCCCCTAGCTAGTACTGTAACACTTGTTTGTTCAAATTTCAAGTTTTATACCAACTTCAATTTAGTTTAAGTGGGAAAAAAATCATTTGAAATTGTTTTCAAAAATCTAATTTCAGATCATAATTTAAGTTCTTGTCCAAACTTAGAAGTTAAATCATTGTTTATATTGGGAATGATCCTCAAAATGGTGGCCAGGGGGAGACAATAATTGCTATATGAAAAACATCCCTGCAAAAACCGATTTTCGTTTTTGTTTAAGCTTTTCTCTTGAAAACAAATATATAAAATAGAAGATGTATAAAAGCTGAAAAAAATATGAAAACTTTAATTAGAACCTACGTCAATATACTACATAATGTCATACAACAACGTCATCACTTTATAGTTGCTGTAAACATGAGGCATTTAAATGCCAAAAATCTGTTGTTAATTTCCCCCGACTGAAAAGCATAAGATTTCCCAATATTGTCAGCCTGTAATAAAGTTGTTATTCATTTCTTTGAAAATATATTTTGTTATGTGTATCAAACACGGAATCCCTTGATATTATTTATACAAGAAAATATGCATACAAGAGCTGTAACATAATCTGAAGATATTTATCTGTGCTCAGTAGTTTATTAGTAACTTTTAAATTCCCAATTTTAACTACATGAATATATAATATGTATATGATGCTTTTGTTCCCAATGTTAACAGTGTTGATGGCATTGCAAAAAGGCGTGCACATTATCAAAGCAATGTCTTGAAAATTATTCATTTCACAAGTCATTGGTTTATACAGAATTTATTTTAGTTCAAATGTGTAGGAAG